ATTTTAAAAAAAAAAAAAAAAAAAAAATAATAGGTCAAGGACAATTTTACCTTCTATTCTTTTTACCGTATCTCAACTGATCCGAAGGTATCTCGCTTTCTGCCATGCAGACTGCTTCCCCCCTCCCCCACCCTCTTCGCCGCTCTCACACTCTCTCACTCTCTCCTGCCCCCTCCACCATCCCTCGCACTCACTCACTCTCTCACTCACTCACTCACTCAGTCACTCAGTCTCTCAGTCTCTTCTCTCTCTCTCTCTCTCTCTCTCTCTCTCTCTCTCTCTCTCTCTCTCTCTCTCTCTGTCCTCCTACTATCTGTCGACTTTCAATAAAAATTGACATCACTTTACTTTGTACACGCATAATCATCGACGACAATTAACATTATTATTTCATGTTTTAAATATTAAATCTTATATATCAACAGCTATGTAAACACACAACAATATGCATATACGTTTAAAAAGATTAAAAACTATGATTATAGATTTTAATATATTTAAAATAAAAATTATAACGTTTAAAATCTCTTACAAACTATAAAATACCTTAATGACACGAAAGTACCTTTATTTATGCATCATAGCCTATGCATTAACAAAATCGATCGAAAACGAACTAGGTTATTCATGAGATTTACGTAAAAAATATAGAAAGTTAGTATAAAACTTACCTATACAATTCTTTCACGTTATCACTCGTTTGAACTTGAACGACGAAAATAATAAGTAACAAAGAAATCATATTAATACTTCACAAGTTTCATCTGTGAACAAATTTGTCTTTTGAATGACTGAATAGGTTTTCGTTCAATTGATTTTATTCGTTTAGCGATATAGATTAAACTCATTTTGATTGGACAAGAAGTTACAAAGTGGGGTATTGATGCCATTATTAGACGAATTTACATACTAATCTTGTACCAAAAACAAGCTTTACAATATCAGATGTTTAATATCTAATTAATGCCTATTAGTATATTATTATTTTACATTTTTATAATAAGAAGAAATAATAAAGATTATAAATTATAATTAATACTTTTTATTATTTTCTCAAAAAAACAATCTCTACAAACATTATCATGATCCAAACTTTTTGTATATCATTTAAATTAATGTTCATATTCCACTTCGTTACGCACCATTTAAATACATCACAACAGACAATAATATACATTGATGGTCATGTGTAATAAAAATAAAATCTGTTATATATCTTTTTTTAATAAATATTTATTGTACAAATGATTAGAATATAATAAAAAAATTAACAAAAAAGCATTAAATTGTCTTATATGATTTTCTTCATTTTCGGTTCATTCATCCCCACGTATTGCTCTATATTTAGCCAACTCATGTGGAAAAACTCTAGTTAGCTCTACAAGCATGTTCGCTTTAAATTTCCTGTAAGCATCGATCTTACCTTTCACCTGTTCATTTTTAGTTAATGCCTTTTCTATGCAATCCTTAGTGTACAACTGAGGATTTCTTCCTTGATCAATGTAACTTAAATCATATACGATAAATTACAACATCATATTTGATATTTAATTATAATAATTTTGTTTAAGGCCTATTGATTCTGATATACTTACTCAAAAACCTCTAAAGGTACATGTACATCTTGAACTTGAGATTTGAGTTTATCTATTTCTTGCAAGCCATTTACTAAACCTTGACTAGGGCAGAAAAGTACAAATATATAGAGATTCACGTAACATGTGTCGAAACAATAAATAATAATATTAAACCCTTAACAATCATTAATACTTTAAAATAACTAAAATTATATAAATTCTTATGGATTATTAAGTATTGTTAACTTTCATACAATACAGTTTTTTATAAACAATTTCAAATTATTATTCATTTTTCTCCCCAAACGAATAAATCAAAATTTTATCATTACTTTAATAAAGCTTGAACATAATTAAATGTAACACGTGTAAAATGTGGTTCTCCGAATAGAACTAATATTTGTCGTTTTAGTCACTCGACGTATAATTTAGTTATTATTTGATCAACATATCAAACATCTACATGTATAAGAAAGATTATAAAAATTGGTATACATTCACTACTTACATTTTTTGATTTAAAACATTTTGTCCTTGAGGTTGAAAATCGCTCACTATAATACGTATTTGTCTAACATTTTCAATAAAAAGTTCTAATTGTGTTTCTAAATTTTCTAACGCAGACGCCATCTTTGTTAGTCCTTGATATATAAGCATAATGCTACCATACGTACCTTACGTACATGTACAAACGTATATCGATGAATACGCATGCGCGCGTATATTTTTGCACGTAGAAACATATATGACATATAAAAGTGCGGTATTTCATAATTGTTCAGTGCGATTAAACACGCTATAACGTATTTATATGTATTTTATTGTATATTTCGTACATGTATGTGTACTGTAAAATTAAAATTGTATACAAAATAAGATTAATACTATACAAATTTTTGTTGAATAACAATAATTATAATATATAAGTAAAAGAAAAAGAAGATATAATTCGTTGAACATGACGCTAAAACACGTAGTTATAGGCAAGTTTATTCACTTATTTGAGAATCTTACATACATCTTCAGAAATAATAATGATTACTAATTTACGTTACGGATGAGGTTATGTAATTGTCCCAGGTGGTGGTACAGGTTTTATCGGATCGCAAATAATAAGTTCGTTATCTCATAAAGGTGTTTCTTATACATGTATTTCTCGCATGCCTGGACCTAATCGAATGTCATGGGTAGGAAAAACTGAATAATACAATCATATAGTACATAATTAATAATATCGTAATGTAATATAAAATCTGTAGCATGATTTAGAATGTCATGGTTTACCTGAAAATACAACTGCTGTAATTAATGTTGCTGGTCAGAATATTCTTGATCCAAAACAGCGATGGTCAGAAGGATTTAAACAGAATGTTATAAATAGCAGAGTAAAGACAACAAAATCTTTAGCCAAAGCAATAATACATACTAAAGCCGACATTTTCGTGACAATTTCTGGAGTATCTTATTATAAACCAAATGATACAGAATATACTGAAGAAAGTAAATGTGAACAGTATGATTTTTTATCAGGTAAATTTTCAATTTAGTGTTCATTTTTACATATGCATGCACACACATAATCACATTATGGATTAATACCAGATAACTTTCATATGTATTAGAACTTTGTCATAAATGGGAAGCAGCTGCTCAACTTCCAAAGGATAGCAATATCAGACAAACTACAATTAGATCAGGAGTTGTATTAGGAAAAACTGGTGGTATGATCAAACAAATGTATTTACCATTTCTCCTTGGGTTAGGTGGACCTATTAGTAGTGGAAATCAATATATGCCGTGGATACATGTAACAGATTTGGTTAATTTGTTTTTGTTCTCAATTGAAAATAAGAATGTGCATGGTATATTAAATGGCGTTGCTCCTCAGGTAATTACTCAAATTAAAACTACTCCCAAGGAACATAAATCAAATAAGTATAATAAATATAACTATGATTTACAGATAGTGACAAATAAAGAGTTTACTAAAACCTTTGCATCTGTAATGCAAAGACCGTCATTTATTCCTGTACCACGCATCATTTTAAATAGCTTGTTTAATGAAGAACGTGCAAAAGTAACTATAAAGTGTATATTTCATTATATTTTATTATAATTAACATTTATCTCAATTCCTTTTCAGATTATGTTGGAAGGACAAAAGGTTATACCCAAACGTGTCAAAGAATTAGGTTTTCAATACCAGTATCCTGATATTAATTCTGCTTGTATTGAAGTTATTCAAAAAAATAAATAGTCATAAAAAAAGAATTAATTGAAGTAGTATCTATCTACATTTTTACATTAATATTCACTCTCGATTGTATTAATTTATATCTTCGTGTTTATATGTTATTATATATAAGTAAAAACCTAAATAAAAATTATTTTTCTTTTCTAATTTTTTTATAATTGTTCACTTCTGAAATCACATATTCAATAAGAGAGAGAGAGAGAGAGAGAGAGAGAGAGAGAGAGAGAGAGAGAGAGAGAGAGAGAAGGGAAAAAACTTATATTAATGAAAATCTCAATATAGTCAATGCAATTAATTTTTATTATATACAAATTATTCAATATAAAAGGTATCCTCTTAGTTATATTTCTTGATAATAATTTTATTAATGTTTTTATCTATGTAATAAGAAGTATTCTTCAAATACAACCAAACTAAACAATTTCAGTTGAAGATTAAATACAACTAAATTTTAAACTGATGAGTAGTATTAATACTACAATAAATTATGAAGGCTGTGAACATGATTACTTAAAGTTGATATTTTGTACGTAGAGATATACCCTTATAATAAAATGTTTTATATCCAAAAAATTAAATAAACTTTTACATTTGGGTTAATAAAGAGTTTTAATAGTTTTTCAAGATTACAGTTCTTTTATAAAATAATTACGTTTAAGCAATTTGTTAGTAATTGTATATTTATTTGTAACAAAACTATAATACTTGAAAGTTGATTGATATTAACAAGGAGAGTGCAAGTTTTTCGGGTCATCGATTTAGTTGAAATTTTGCAAGTTTGTAGATTTCGTCATACAGTTAAAGAAAATATATCATTATAGGTGCAGCTATTCTATAGTTTTTGAGATATTTACGATTAAAGTTTTATTATACATTTTATTCAAGATTTATTTCAACTCGTTTCCAAATAGAGTTGTAGCATAGCGGCGACATTCGAAAATTTCTATATTGGAGGTTCGGGATTCGATTCCAGTCCATAGTTAGTAGCTTTTCTTCAGTCTATTTTTTATTTTGTATTCATTTTTCGTCCATGAAAACATTGTAAATAATATTTCTTAATACAAAAATTTATTTTTTACGCTTTCTTATGTTAGTATATATTTATTAGAAAATAATAAGAATATTATGCAAGAAAAATACTTTTCTATAGCAATCTTATTTACTACAGAAAGAAAATGAAAATATAAATAATCATTAGATACGGGAAATACAAGATCTATCGCTCATGTAAGTATTAATTAGTAAATTAAACACTGTATAAGAATGTTGCCTATAATTCCAACTTTGCTGTGCAGCTATAATTGTTCTAATTACAAAACTAATTACAAAAACTTGGCAATTTATTAATTTTCTACTGTCGAATTGATTTCTAGTATCCAGTTCGAATACAAATTTTACCGCCTGCGATCAACGCCATCTATTATTTGAGCTCAAAAATCAAGAAAGTAATAGGAATATGGAATAGGCAAGGAGGTAGTCAAAGAGCTGGTCACGTGGCAGACAAGGACAGAGAGGGGATAGAAAAGGATAGAAGGGCTCCGGCAGTGAAAAATTAATTAATTACTCAATTTCTGTAATTAATTTATGAACTTTTATAATTTCATTGCAAAGCTGGAACTTCAAGCTACATTCTTATATAATTTTCATAAAGAATTTAACTCAAAATTGTTAATTATTAATTTTTGTTTTATAGCATCTATGATTTCGTAACGGTGACTATCACGATCTTCCGTGAAAATATTTAATACTAAACGAAACTAGAAGCAAAATGTGATCAAAAGTTATTTGAGAAGATTCGCAAGAACATTGTTTTTATAATGAGTGCATAAAGTTTCATAAATTAATTGCGTAAAGGATAGTAATTAATGAAAAACTAATGGCGTCTTCGACAACAATTCAAACACTGCGTAGAATAATCATTAATAATTAATTAATTAGGGACAAATTTATATCGAAAAATATATTGGAAAGTTCTTGAAGGATCTGCCTTTACGATGCAATTATAAAAGTGCATAAATTAATCGCAGGAATTGAGTAATTAATTAATTTTCTAACAAAAATTCAAACCACAACGGTCAGCGCCGCATATGATTTTCATCTGGAAGCTTCTGCTCCGTTAGTTCCGGTACGAAACTATAGGAATTCTTGGAAATGACGTAAAATCTTGGAATTGATCGGCGTGCAACCTCCTATCATGTTATGTTACCCTAATACAAAGTCACAAAATCGGTCGAAAATTTCTCGCCAAGACTGCAAAGTATTGTCCCAAAATTCTTGGAAATGACGTCATTTCTTGGAACTGTCTCGGCGAACAACCTGTTGTCACATTATGTTGTCCTGATACAAAATCATGAAATCGGCCAGAAACCTTTCCTCAAGGCGACAAAAGTATTAACCGAGAATTCTTGGAAATGACGTAAATTCTGGGAATTGCCTCCGTGATACAGTTTCTTTCACGTTATGTTCTCCTGACACAGAATAGCAAAAATTGGCCGACAATTTCTCGTTGAGACAGTAAAAGTATTGTCCACGAAATACCTCTTATCGCGTTATGTTATCCCGATACATAATAGCTACAATTCGCCCGGAATTTATTATCGAGGCTGCAAAAGTGTTGTCCCAGAAGAAATTTCTGTCTGATTTTACGACTTTGTATCGGGATAACATAACATGAAAGGAGGTCGCTCGCCGAGACAGTTCCAAGAAATTACGTCATTTCCAAGAATTCTTTCAACAATACTTTTGCAGCCTCGCCGTAAAATTTTTGACCGATTTTGCGATTTTGTATTAGAAATATATAACATGACAGGAGGTCGATCATCGAACAAGTTCCGAGAAATAACGTCATTTCCAAGAATTTCTTGGACAATACGTTTGCCGCCTTGGTGAGAAATTTTCGGCCAATTTTATGACTTTGTATTAGAGTAACATAACATGACAGGAGGTTGCTCCCCGACCCATTCTCTTCGAATGCTCCCCAACCAATCCCATAGTCTGTGAACTATATACTTTTACTTTTTCTGCATCGCAGTACACTTTACTTATTTTACTTACCTTGTACTTACCTTATACTTACCTTCCCTTACTTGTATTCCTTTCCTTAATTCCTCTTCATTTACATATAATTTTGATAGACATTGCCAACTCTTTATTTTCAAAGTTCAAAGGGAATATTGAAAACTTACAAGAGGTAGAATATAGCTTAAGCTTTGTGCGTAACTCTTAGCTTGGTATCGTTTTCGAAAGATTGCTCTTTCGAAAACGATACCAATTACTAGGTCTCACCACAAGGAGGTGACTACGCATCGAGACCCGACATGCGCCCTAGTAGCGCAACCTACTGGTGCTATCAGTATCAAAGGTATCCTAATCTAATTTGAAACAAATTAAATTAAAGTGATTGTTCCGTCGTGGAACAAGGAAGACCCGTTACGGTCTTCCAACAGTCAGGTCTTAGGGTCGAACAATTCGGCATCGGAATTTTCTGCTCCATGTCTTCAGCATGTTCGAATGCTTTACCTTTTTTCTTTGACTTCTCATGTCGCGGAACACGAGAATCCTGGAAATCCCTAATTTAACGAAATTAGGCGACAGCTCTTAAGACTTGGCTGACAATAGGCCTGAGGGCTCCACGCGGTCCGCACACGTTGGAAGTCTCAGGCCCTCGCTAGGGGTAATAAACGACCGATGGGGTCACCAGCGCGCGGGTGGACCCCAGGGACCCCACCTTGGAGGAGAGGGTTTCCTCCACTATCGTTGCTTTTTGGGGAAACCTTCCCTTTCTCCAAGGTCACCGATTTGCGAACCAAGGGAACGCCCTTGGTCAAAGACAGCCGATCATATTTGGCGAGCTCCCGATTTTTCCTAAGGCCGATCTTAGGAAGATCGAGGAGCTCACTTCCTTACGAGATCTGAGAGACACGGGTTCTCTCTAAAGCACTTCCGTACGAGATCTGAGAGACACGGGTTCTCTCTAAAGCAATTCGGTTCGAGATCTGAGAGACACGGTTCTCTTCAAAAACTCCGTCTAACCGATTCAAATCAACAACACGCCACGGTTCTTTTCGAAACATCGAACGTCGTAGACACGACTCTTTTCCGCTCGTGCAACTTAAACAGTTGCCCAATATTAATTTGGCGGGCAACACGTGTCGTAGTCGCGAGACGGCCTTACAAACCGTCGGAAATACGAGAATTTCGATCGCGACGCGACGCGACAGTGACTCTACTGACACTTTATTTTATTTCGTGTCTTACAAAGGGGATTTTGATTCGGTATACTAAAACTTTACTATCACAACGCTAAGATATTTTCAAGTTCCCATAAAAATAGGGAATGAAATATCAAACACGTGAGCAAGTTAAAAATCGCGATCGCGCCCGAACGAGTTCGCGATTATTCGAAAAACCGACCAGCCTACGAGACGTACTCTCGTGTACAAGACAACTTCATGCCTCGGCACCCTCCCGATCGTGCCTAGTCCAAGTCCAGCCACTGCCGTACTCTCCAAGACTTACACGTGGACCAAGGTTAGTCCCCGAACCAATGAAACTTTCAAAGTCGATACGAGGGTCCGGCGGGGCCTTACAAGCCAGACAGACACTTCGTATCCCTGCCACATCGGGTAGAACTGAATCATCCCTGTGGTCTAACCGTAGACACACTATGCCCGTCCAGCTGCAGGCCCATACCCCAGTCGCGTACAACCAGGACTGCTGGACCCCTGCATCAAGTCCAGAAGAAACAATGATCCGAGGGCTACCCTGGAACTCGATGCTTGACGAGGTTGACAGTGGCTAGAAATGAGTGTCGGGAACGAGTCGTGAGAATGACTTATGAGACGCGAAGTTGTCGGGTACACGGCAGTACGTCGCGTAGGCTAGTCGGTACTTAAGAACGATCGCCATTATCGCGAGAACAATTAGATTCTATTTGGTAAACGAGAGGGTAAGAGAATTGATATATTTCTCTCCAAGTTAGGTAGCTTACCTTTGTACAGATA